GTATGTGGAGCATGGGAGGGTGGGGTGGGATCAATCCCATCAGCTACTCTCCTGGGTCGTCCTTAGTTTGTGGGATACTGGAGTTCTGAGTAGTGCAGCACTGGTGACAAGTGCCACCTCTTTGGTTTCCCCTCTTCCTCCTCCTCTTTCCCATCCCTCCCCCTTTATCTCTTTTTCCATATTCTCGCTCCTCCCATTCTCCTCCATTCCTGGCCATTGCACTTTACAGTGACGTCGGAGTTGGATATCCTCGCTCGTGATTTCAGGAAGCGGAGAAAAAGGCAGGGAAGGGGTGGGCTGAGGGGGAGCGGCAGTGACTCTAGGGTTTTACTCTTGCTGGCTCCTGGCAGAGAAAGGCACGTGCACACACAGGCGTGTGTGTGTGTGGCAGGACGAGGCAGCGGAAGCAGTGTAATGGACATGCAGGAAAATATGCTTGCTCTTGCAACTCTTCCTAAAACTGCCTAGAAGAGAGTAGTGTTTGCAGATGTGGAGAAAGTGAAGGTGGAATAACACGACTAACTTGATGATGCACTTACATGTTAGCTATACTGAGGTTCTCGTTACATTATTTTGTGAAGACTATGGGGGTTTAGGGCTGAAATATATATATTTGCGTATATGCCGAGAAATTTTATGCTAAAATTCTGAATTGTTTCCTGGGAGGCTGTGGGGGGAGGGGGATAAGGTTTGTCTGCCAGTCTGGCTGGCGGTTTCACTGTGGCTATTACAGCCTTTGAGTCTGTGGCAGACCAGTGGAAGTGATGGAAAGGAAGTGGGATCTGAGTTTGGGAAAGCAACCCCGGAGTCAGGGAGGCTGCTGGGATCTCTGACAGAGGATGCTGGTTTGCAATGAGAGGAGTCTGGGGAAAGGGGTGCAGGGTTAGTCCGTTAGCTGTGAATTGTTCACTAGCTGTGACGTACTTCAGAGGTGGGAGCAGTGTGTAGTTTGGGTTAGCCTATACGCGAGTATATACGATAACTTTATACTTGAAATGTCTGTAGAGAAAGCAAAATAAATCCACAGTCCTATAAGGTGTCTGGAGAAGAAACATAGTGAAACGGAGCTAAAGAGTAGGGAAGGGTGAGGAGTTTTGTCACTGTCACTTCAGGGGTCACCAAGCCTGTTTTGGTACATCCTTTCAGCAAGGAGGGCAGGGCAAAAAGGGGTTTCATCCTTCTGCCCTCCCTACCCTTGGCCAGCAGGTTGGAACAAAAAGAATAGGGTGCCCTCTGCCAACACTGGCACGGTGCTGGAGGGGACAAATAAATGCCGTGAAAGGGTGCGTGTGGTGGCGGTGGTGCTGGTGGACTGTTTCAATGCCTCCTTGCACATGTGGAAATGGGAGGAGGGTGTGTGCACCCATGGGAAACACATATGTATATTTACTATTGAATGTACAGGGGAAGTACACGGCTTGTCTTCCTGGGAAGGGGTGTGCGTCAGTAAACGCCAGGGAGCACAGAACCTTGTGCTGAGGGCTGAAGACAAGCCGTGCAAGGCTGAGATGCGTGTGTACGTGTACGTGTGCCTCTGTGTGCGAGAGGGAGAGATACTAGCACAGGTGCAAAGCTGGAATAGCCTAGGGTTTCCCATCCCTGCAGTTGTAGTGACAGCTTTCCTGGTGCACCTAGTATCACAAGAGTGTTTTTTTCTTTCCATTGTATCATTTTAGATGCAAGTTTAACTGAAGGAAAGAGAGCAATGGTAGGAGTGAGAAGCTGAACTCCCCCTTCATATGTCTTCTTTCTCCTGAGGTGGGGGCTGACCTCTCCTGTCCTGAGAGATACGGCAAAGTGTCTCCTGCTTATCCTGGGTCTGTCCCAGTGTCTCGATGACTGTGGCTCACCAGGGGAGGGGTTGAGAGAGCCCTGTGCTGAGGGCATGGGGGCACTGCTGGGGACTGACTCTGAAAGGAGATGGCAGCCCCGTCTTTATGAGCCACATTTCTTGGAGCTGAAAGCCACCTCTCTCACATTCCTCACCGCACCCCGGTTGATTTTATCTTATCTTTCTCTTTTTAAGCCAACAGAAGGCCTTTTATTTATTTATTTACCTATTCATTTTATTTATTTTTTAAAAGCTGGGGTGGGGGGAGGGTGGGATTTGCCTGTAAAGTCAAAGAGTGTGCAGAGAGGGTGGGCAGGGTTGGTGAGGGGAGTATTTTCTTACATTTCACTGAGGATATTAAGGAGGGAAGAGAACAAGAGTCTTTGTAATGCCACCCCTTAGTCTTTGGGGTAAGGGAGCTTCTTATTCTTTCCCTCTTCTCTCATTATAAGGACAAAAAGGAAAAGAAAAAACAAAACAAAACAACAAAAAAAAAGAAACCAAACAAATCAACAGAGCGATCTGCAATCCAGAACACACGGCAGCTTGTCAGACGCCTCTGACAGCGGCCACCGAGAAGGCGTTCCTTTCATTTGTAAATATTTCTTTTTTATTGCGTTTTTGTATAAATTGGTGTTTCTCTTCTCGTGAATATTCAGGTCGTGGGGTGGGCGGGAGGGGAAGTTTGTTTCCGTTCTGTTTGTTTTCTACGACTTTTCAGGCTGCGTTTTTGGAAGCGGTTTACGCGGGTCGAGGCCGTATGAATGAGGAAAAAAAAAAAGAGAGAGAGAGAGAGAAACCCATGTGTGTTGTGTTCCCCTGAGGCCCCCCGTATCGCCCTGTCACCTTTATCTTCATGAATGGAAGACGCCGGAACGTCACTTCAAGCCTTGCCAGCAGGGTTTCATGTTTTGATGGGAACACCCCCAATTCCTTTTTGCATATAAACTCTCTGTACCAGCATCTTTCTGTGGAGTTTGGGCCTCAAGGCACTACGCTGTCTTGATAGTGGTGGGGTGAACCATCAAGTTGGCCGCTCAGGTTGGACCATCACTTTGACATTAAGAGACTTCTCCAATGCTACTTTGGTTTAGAAATCTTGGACCTGGGAAAGCTCGTGATAATTTCTGGTATTTCCTAAGGGCTTGGGGGGGAGCTTGACAGCTGGCGAGGGCAGCTAATCTCTTTGGCGTTTATCTCGGTACTTTTCCGTCCCTCCCCACCTGGAACGAGGAAACCTGGAGGGTGGCTCTGCAGGGAAATTAAGCCGAAAACAAACCAAAAAGAAGTTAACGGAACTTTTTTCAAATCTCTTCTTAAAGGTTCTGATTTTTGTGTTCCGGGGTGAAAGTTGGTTCGTATTTTCTCCGAACTGGTCTGTCCCTTGTTCCACTGATCGGCAAATGATAGTTTGCCAAAATCATTATCTAGTGTTGATACTGTTGTAGCACTGTTAAAACTCCGAGTGCTCTGCAAATATTAACTGTGCCACAAACCACTCAAATGAATGCTCTAGGGCAACCAGAAAAGAAGAACTGGAAATTCTGGACTGAACCACTGGTCTAACCACAGGAGCCTGGTGTTTTGCCTTCTCCCGTAATAGATTAGGCCACGTGTCCATCAGGTTAATCCTTTCTCCTCTAAGCGATCTTTTCTGGTTGCTTTGTTTATTTTAGTTCTGACAGGTCAACAAGTTTTGGGACAGTGATGAAGGGGAGGGGGTGGGAGGAGGGAGGGTGTAATTCATAATCCAGAAAATAAATCGATGATGTTATTAAACTCTGATTATATATTTAGAATTTTAGATTTGGTGTATTTTCATTCTAAGTATTCAAGTGAATCAATCAGGCAATAGTAGCAGCAGGTGTTGCCTCTACTAGAAAACCACCCATGTGCTGTCTATTACCTGTCTGAAAAGAATGGAATTTCATACCAGAGCCTGACAAAACTCCACATCCTCTCCCTTGACATTTTTCTCTCTCTTCTGTAGAAACACCAGTATTTTCTGGGGCAGTGGCTGGGAATATTTCCCCTCTCTGAAGGTTTCTGCATACAAGAACACCGAGCAAAAAACCATTGTGTCCTCTACAGTTTGGTGGGTCCTACTGTGTATTTGTAGACAGCCTCCTGGGAAAGATTAGGCGCCTTTGGCAATGTTTCTGACTCTTGCCTCCTCACTGTAGCCCCGGGCATGGCTCTCCGAGAGGTATTTTCATGAGCCATGTTCTTCTGAAGCGGTACTGGAGTGTATGTACTCAGCTGAAGGAGGTTGTGTGTGAAGGAGAGGGAGGAAATATTTTTAAAAAAAAAGAAAACAAACACCAGAATTGTGCCACGCACAGTGGAAAGCAACTGGCAGTTAAAACTTCCAGCCGTGGATCTCCACATCATAAACGTTCTTGGAGTATCCACACCAGGTTTTTACTGAAGTGCAACACAACACGGGCTGGTGTAGCAGTAGTTCTGTGTCTCCCACCACACCTCCCAGTGAGGGCAGTATCAGAACTTGCCATGTAACATCGTAAGTAGGAAAGAAAAGCTGCAGTCAGGACTTGCTGTCAGTTGAGACAATGAAGCACACTGACCCCACCTTCCTTAGCAAAACCATCCCGTTCTCTCTGAAATCCAGCATGCGTTGTCAGAACTCTCCAGGTGAGAACCTCTCTGGTTCAAAATGCTCAGCAATATGCAAGTATGAACTTTGTCCTTAGGGAACTGATATTCCAACTTCCAGTGCATGGGAGGAGGAAGGTTCCTTTGTGATGTCCTGAAGGATTTGGTGGAGGAGTTAAGAGTTACCAGGATGGGCCTCTTTGCTTCTGACTTCTTCAGCAATGCATGCCGGCGTTAAGCTCCTCACTCCAAGAAGACACTAGCATCCATCTTGATTAAAGTCCCTTTGTACCTTCAAATCAGGGTTGTTTCTCACAGCAACATTGCCAGCACAAGAGAGGGGGAGACAGAGAATGAATATGGTGGTGGTGACAGGTTAGAGTGATCAGAGATACCTCAGGGATCTTTATAGGCAAGTCTTTGCTTTAAAGCTTTCTATCAAATGTGGCATATCCTCCCACCTCCATTGCTTATCAACAGATGGAAGCAAGCCTGGGAACGCAGCCAATGATCAGACTTAGGCCTTTCGCA